ATATATATATATATATATATATATATATATATATATATATATATATATATATATATATATATATATATATATATATATATATATATATATATATATATATATATATATATATATATATATATATCTGACCGAAAGCAATTCCAATGTGAATTTTTCAAAGGAAGCATTAATTTTTCAGTGTGAGTGAACACGATTAACAGCAATGCCATTGGCAGAGTGACTGAAGAGAATATTTTAACCACTTATCCTGTAATTTTATTGTAGGGAAATTATTGGGAAAATTATATTCAGTAAATTGTTATATCAATGGAGGACATTTCATATTCCTGATAATACAGGTTATCGAAGATTTCAACAACAAATTTTCAAAGGTAAAACCAACAGCCATTACTATAACCAGGCGAACAGATTACAAATAAATGCTTTCCATTTGTATGATACCTTATGGGTGCAACACGAAAAATATCGTGCATAATTTATTCTCCTAGATAAAAAATATGGGTTCGTATTGCGTTTTACAAATTTCAACTATATGAGCATATTATAAAGCTTTGGCAAAAACCGTCCAACTGGGCACTACAAAACAATCATTATTAACTTAAAAATTAAAACAGTTGAATTTGATCAGTTATATATAATGCAGACGTCATAATATGACATTGAAAAAAAAAAACAAAAACAAAGAAAAAAACGGAAACTCCAGAGGCATCAAATATTTGTGATGTGTTTTAAAATGAAAAACCATATCCAGAAATCATAACTGAGAAAATGTATTGTTTAATTAACATACGCTTGAAAACCACAGTGGACATCAATAAAGCTATCAACCAGGAAAAATACATAAGACAACAATTTCTGTGCATGACAAACATCCGCAAAAAGTGAACAAATAACAAGACCAATAGAGAGTATAGTATTGATGAAATAGATGAGATCTTTCTATCGCATTTTTATTATTTCAGATGGATTAACTCTAGATAATTTATTTCTCTGATAAAATGAAAAAATTTAGATTATTAAGATATATAATCCATATCATGTCAAAAGCACCTAACATGCAATAAGTTTCGAATGCAACCATAGTTAAGCAAACAATGCAGAAAGTGCCATCACATGAATTAAGGCGACTTAAGATCACGCATTACTTTCAGACAAATTTCGTAAAACATAAAGGCTAAACCGGAACTGCAAGCAGCTTTGAGCTGTGACGGCCATAGTCCTTTAAACAGTCCTGCAGAAGAAGCATTGAAAAGTGGTAAAGAAAGAAAATAAAGAAAAGACATTTAGTAATATTTATTGGAAATATTTAAATCAAAACCAAAAAATGGTAACATGAGTTAGAGAAAAATAAAAAACGCCATCCATACTTCATCCAAAACATGAAAAACTAATACCTGTGACTTTTTCATCTCTCAAAATTGCAGCAGTGGTGGAACGCATCGAATGCCATGGTAACTGCTTGAAACAACCGAAGCCATGCGCCTAAATAAATAAATTTTATCAAATACAATCAACTTCGGCGACAGATTTTCAATAACATAACATATAATTCATGCTGACGTAAAGAAATTGTAATTTTTAACATTTTGAAATTTAATTTGAAACAGACTTGTAAACGATGTCGAAAAACGTCTAAGGGATAGACCACTGTTTTTGATATTACACCAGCCAAGGCGCCACAACATAACGGTCCAAAAGATTCTAAAAGTTTATCAAACTCAAATGACTCGAAGTTTGAAGAAAGTGATGAAAGAAATTTCACGCCCAGGAACTTCGAAATATACCTAAATAATCTGGAAGTCTTTCCCACGAAACGCTGAGAACGTTGTATAGGGAAAACTGCAAACCTGCAAAATACAAAAAATATAAAAATTAATTAATTGATTAATTGATTAAAAATTAATTGATTAATTCAAATTAAAAGTGGAAAAGACATAAAATCTAATAAAATCTTGGAACATTTCAATGACCAACCAATAAAAGGAGCAATCTGAATTAAAGACGGAGTGAATCCCCGGAAAAAACCACGAAAACCTTCCGATTTCCAAATAAAAGTTATGGCATGCAACGTCCCATTATAAACCTATAATTTCAAATATTACGTGCAAAACACGTGTTTTTAAGTTTTGCACAATTCGATTAGACCGGAATACCAATCCGTGGGAATGTACTTTATGCTGAGCTTGAATGATTAATCTTGTCCTGATAACATCGAACGGCAATGAGAAAGCCGTTCCTCCACATCCAGCTAACGCTCCGCAAATAATGTCCGTTACTCGTCGATTTTCATTTGCAACTGAAAATCAACTACTATGTTTAACTGAAAAAAAGGTAAGCAACTGCTGAAAGTAACCTATGAATAAAAATACAACAAATTCAAAAAGTCGGCTGTATGAATTTTCAGGTTAAATTAAAGTTAGAGGTTGGAAAGACAAAAGTAAGAATATTCATAAGAATTTTTTACTCGCTTCTTCTATATAGCTATTCAAAATAAGTTGTGGAAACATACGTGGGCATCTAACTGCCTGTTCAGTAAGGAATTCAAAAATAGCGAATTGCACAATTCCATAAATGGCGGACAACCCTTGAGCAGGAACATGACCTTTCCAGAATGCCACCAATCCTTCATCCTCATAAATTCGTGAACAAGCTTGAAAAATGCCATGATACTGTCCTTTGGTTTTGCCGAACGTCGGTTCTCGTTGAACCTTGAACAGTGATGCTTTTAAAAAAATGAAAAAATAATTATGTCAAATTTCTGGGACAAATCCACAATATCTTATATCCCATAATTAATTTCAGGAACAAATATATGAATTTTGTTTTTAGAGGTTATAAGTTCTACGAAGTTCTACGTTCTACGTTCTAAGTTCTACGAACTTTCCCCCGAACTAATTTCGGAATAATGAACATTTAAACTACTGTTACTTTAGTCCCAAATCCCTTGTAATCTGACTACCTATTATAACTTTGTAATTGCATTTTCTCTTGAATGCGCCAATAAATTAAAGTGCTGAACAAATATTTGTTATTTGAATATGTTGTACTAAATAACTTGTTTAAAAAATAGTAATTTGCTATATGACCGGAACTGATTACATACTTGAAATCGAATTTTTAAAACATCAAGAGGTTGTATAAGAAATCTCGTCGCAATTCCCGTAATCAAACCCGCTGCACTGTACTCAATTGATGTCAATTCTTGGGTACCATATCCAATCATATTTTCCGACTATTAATGTCCAATAGATGAATTTCATATAATTTCCACAGCTTACTAATACCAAATACTTGTTTACTATCCTCAGAACATGCATTTTTTTTTCTCTCTCTCTCAAAAACAAGAACACTGGAAAACGACGATATACGTTTTGCGAAAAACGGAAAGAATGACGTTACGATATGACATTCAATATCTAAATTGGTATTGTTTCAGCTATAAAAAAAAAAAGACCTGAAAAGTCTAGAAAAAACTCGCCCGCAACAGTCATCAGTAATTCATAATGCACAATAAAAGAAAAAAATGCCTTAGATGTCAATTTCACCTTCTTGAAAACAAAAGCAATTCTGGAAACCGGTGTCAAATCACGATTTAAATTTCAAAAATTTTAAATAACTTTTCAATAACTGTTGAAATTTTAATGAAATACTGTCACCAGAAATTAAATTAGCTCTCTGGTCCAATTTTTAATGTTAACTTATTCAATGTTATACATCCTATCTTACCACTCATTTACTTGGGTATTTTTTTGTATTAATGGAAGACGGATCCTTTGATTTTCTAAACTTTAATTTATTTTTAAATTTCAAACAATATTAAAACCCAGACTTTAAAAATTTCTAAAATCTTTTTTAAGAGAAATAAATAAAAAATAAAAAATGAGAAATGTTAAAAAAAAATTGAACAAAAAATGTTCAAATCGAACATTAGCCTTCAGCTCGTCCTCGCCCACTCCCTCTCTCTTTTTTCCATTTCCTCCTCCCCCTCTCTCCCTCTCTCCCTCCT